ATTATGAAGTAATTTATCAGTTATGATTATTTTTGCTAAATGTCCAAGTATATTTGTTCTGCCCATTATAAAATTAATCCTTGAAATATTAATAATAAATAGTCTATGGTACTTTTCTGATATTCATTCATACAAATACAAATTTTCATTTAACTTTTCTATTTTATTGGTATGAATTTATAATCATACAAGGAAGAAGGAAGAACCTATTTTAATGGTCATATAACATAGTTTGTCTTTTTTCTTTCAGCTCTGTAAATTTAATGTATGGAAGTGATTTGACATAGATGATAAACACCTTCCTATTATGTTGAAGTAATATTTCACCTCTTTTCTCCAGGCCACTATAGCAAGGAAGAGAAGATAATCCATGCCTATGGGTTAGTTTAAGAAATGCAATCTATTTTTTGTGTGTATTTATTTATTTATTTTAAATTAATTTTTTAATGTACATATGACATCAGAATGCATTACAACTCATATTATACATATACAGATTAGATTTTTCATATCTCTGGTTGTATACAAAGTATATTTAGCATGGATTGTGAAAGGAGACCCTCATTACTATACAAAATACATGTATGAAGATGTGAATTTGGTGTCAACATACCTTATATATAATCAGAGATATGATAAACTATAATATAATGGTGTATTAAGAATTGTAATGCAAAAATAAATACATAAATATTTTTAAAAACCCAAAGTATATTTACACCAATTTGTGTCTTCATACATGTACTTTGGAAATCATGATGTACATTATTATATATATTCTACCATCATTTCTAACCCCACACCCCCTCTCTTCTCCTCCTACCTCTCTGCCTTATCAAGAGTTCACCTATTCCTCCCATGCTCCCCCTCCCTATCCCAATAACAATCAGTCTCCTTGTAACAGAGAAAACATTTGACTTTTTTTTTTTTTTGGAATTGGCTAATTTTACTTAGCATTATCTTCTCTAACTGCATCCATTTACCTGCAAATTTCATGATTTTATTCTCTTTTATTGCTGTTTAATATTTCATTGTGTATATATGTCACATTTTTTATATATTCGTCTACTGAAGGCCATCAAGGTTGATTCCACAGTTTAGCTATTGTGAATTGTACTGGTATAAATATTGATGTGGCTGTGTCCCTATAGTATGCTGTTTTTAAGTCTTTTGGGTCTAGACCAAGGAGAACTTACCAGCTCCAACCCAGAAAGATGTATTATAGAAACTTTTAATAACCAATAACCATGGTCATCTAGAATCCTAAAATCTAAACTCAGGTTCAATATCAGTTTTTATAAAAATATATAAGAATTCTCTTTTGCCTTTAAACCTCCTCTTCCATTGTTGTTTTCTAAGACTATTTTCTGAGGCACTTTGTTCTTTAACTCTGAATCTGAAATGCTATATTGAACAAGGCTTATTCCTTGACTTTTTTGAGAATGCAAGATTTACCTGAAAATATTTCATGAA